AAAAAAAAAATCACACACACACACACACACACACAAAAGTCCCATAAAACAAACCAGATGAAGAAATAGGAATAGGAAGGTTTCTTCATCTTATACACCTTTCTGTTTAATCCATATCAGCCAAAACAAAGTATTCTCAATTTTTTCTTTCTAGAAGGCATCAGACTGTGATGTCTCTAGCGCAGAAATGGGCAATAGAGCTGAATGCCACTCACAATAGGTCACTGAATAGCATCCCAACCCATAGCACATCTGCTCAGAGCTGATCAGGGCCCTGGTCTTACAGGGAGAGGTACTGCATTTTTCTTTCTCCCCCTGACTGCAGCAGCAGCTGCATTGCTGCCATTCCGAGCTTGGAGGCTGTCATGCAGGATTGGACTATTGTGGTAGCTGGAGCAAATGTACAGCTCCTCAGCCAAAATCAGCCAGCAGGTCACATAAAAAATTAACTAGCCCAGTCTCGAGAGGTTGATTCTTGGCCAATAAAGCTACAGAACTTCTCATTTAAGGAGGTAAGGAATCATTTAACAAAATCGTTATTTTATCCAGATGAAATATTCAGTCCATATCCTATGAAGCAAGAGGCTTTAAGCCTTCCTGGATAGCAGGCTCAGAGCGTAGCTCACAGCATATGCAGGCTAGCTTTTATAAGTAAGCAAGTAGAATCCTGCAGGTATTGTATCCATGGCAGCATGGAGCTGAGCACGGGTCCATGCTCAATTATTTACCCAGCTAATGAGGTGGTCTTTGCAGCCTTTGCTTGTTGAGGCCATCTCATTGTGGGCAGATGTCCAGAACACTGGGCAGGACTGGTAAATCTAGACTAGACTTGCTCCCAGACTTGCTCCCACTGTCTGTGCATATGCAATGCTGTTGGTCGGCTACTTTTAGTTTTTGTTTTGTTTGTTTGAAGTTTTGTTTTTATTTAGATTGGTACAAGGATGTATTGGAAAAATAAATGTTACAGCATCAAAATTCTGGAATAGACACAGTTGAAACTTGCTGGTATTCCTTCTGTGAATACTGGAGTATGAGATACACAGTAGTAGTAGCTGATGTCAGTGGTCCCTACAGTACCCAGATATCTGGTTCATGGCTAAAAGCCAAAATGTAAAACCAAAACAAAACAAAGAAAACCTGACTTCTTTTGCTCATCCTGTGTTTGACAGCTGAACACTCCTGTGAGAAATGCTTCCTGGTGTTGTAAAACAACAGCCTCAAGGACTTGATGCTATTGCTGGAACAGATAAAATGCTTATTGTATTTCTGCTGAACAAAATTTTTTTTTTTTTATATTTGCAATACCAAACCTATACATGCTGTATATATGTTACACATGACACAATGTATACATCTGATACTGAGCCAAACTGATCTGCCTATGTGTATTATTTTTCCACATCCCAGTAATACACCCAGATAGCAGAATTGGAAGAAAAAGGCTGGTTGCACCAGGAGGGTTAGCAGCTTGTAGCAAATAGGGCCATAGGAGTATAAGGGGAAACAGATCATAAGGATTTCTTCAGCATTGGTTTGCATACTTCTATGAACCAGACACAGATCGATAATTGATTTTAATTGAAGAAAAAAGCAACCAGCATAACAAAAAAGGCTGTACTACTACAGACTTTTGTCACGTAAAAGGGTGTTCTGAACATGTATAGCAGCTTTTAATGAGGTTGAAAGCATCTGATAACGTTAAAAGATGGGGAATACACAGCATTTACTTAGATGAACAATTGAGAAAACATGCACATAATTTCCTAATTTGCTACAAATAAAAACCCAAAAGAATTTGGAAAAGAGAATGAAACCCTACCCTTGCCCTTTACAGTGCAGTGAGATTATCCAGTCGACATTTCTCCCCACCCATAATTAGCTATGTATTGTCCCATCACCTGCCTCATCTACATGCTCTATGACTATGGCTTGTGAGCAAAATACATTTCTCCCCAAATACTCTATGAAACATCATCATGTATCAGTGTAGACTACAACCAGCTTTGCTCACCCAGACAGCAGGAAAGGGACTGGCAAATGGATCCCACCTGATGCAGCTTCAGGGTGTGTCAGCAACCTCTGAAGTGCTTTAGAGTTCAGCAGTGTAAATGCAGCTTAAGTTAACTGATGTTGCCAGTTGCACGTGATTGGGATTAAGAGCATCACAAGCTGCTCTGAGCAACATTGCAGAAAAGTGGCTGCACTTACAAATCTTGGCTGAACTAGGGGTACTCCTCCTTGTTAATATATACAGTCCATGCTACCCAACCCTACAGAAAAAAAATCTCTTTAGAAAAGGAACACTGAAAAGACATTTAGTGTAATCTGGCAAGCATGTTCTGCAACTTGAAATGCACACAGAGCAAACCAGAAAAGCCCACAGGAAACAACTTATACAATTTGATTTGGAAGGCATGAGTGAGTGCAATTTTTGTGCCCACATTCAAGGTGATCCTGATGCTCAAGTTGAAACCCACAGAATTTCTCTCCAGCGTGGAATAAGAGAAAGGAAAAATGAAAACTCTGTAACTCTGTAGCTAAGATGTATCTAGTTTCTTGAATTTAAAACCTCTTTTCTTATCTGCATTTGGGCATGTAAAATACATAGATTTCAGTGGAGATTAGGAATTTCAGTACTTTGAGAAAACTCTGCTGGAGGCTCACCTGAATCTTTTGATGTCAAAATACTCCTTAAGACATATTTCTAGTGAATTCTTACCATGATTTCATCTCCCCCGAGGTGTGTCATTTTAATCCTAGGTGTTCTGGCTCATCTTCTTGGTTGGGACACACATTAATGATAACTGTGATTATCACTGGAGTATAACAATATGTACAACAGGAGAACTTGCAGTTCTGCTGTCAAGGCCTGTTTTGCTAGAGGAAAAAAAAATCCCTTTGAACACCTTTGAAGGTCATGCTGTGAAAGACTAACTGCCTTTATATTGTGGTTTATGGAGCTTGGCCAAAGCACTCGAAGTGCTTTTGGTCATACGTCGGCATTGTTGCATTTCAAATAGAGTCACACAGTAAATCTTCATTTGCCTAGGAAATTTTCAGATCCTTTCATCTGAAGTTGTTTCAGTGTTGCTTTGTTGATTCTTTGTTTTAGGAGGCAAAGAGTGTTTCTGGCAGTTCGGTAGCTGGGCATGTCTTTAAAGAAAATGCTGTGATCAAATAAGCACAAGTACAAGGCAGCAGCAAAGAAACTAATTCTCAAAAATCTCAAGCTAGATTTGTGAAGTTGAATCTCATAGCATGCATGCTACATCTGTGAGCAAACAGGATATAGACTCTACATATACCCTAAATCTTAAAGGTGAAGGAAGTAGACCAGAATTTTGAGCTGTGGGTGGTGCAAGCATCTGATGAACCATCCCAGATTAACTCCTTGTACCAACCTGGTACCTGTATGGTACACGTCAAGTCTATGCTAGTAGGTATTTTATCTCCTGACTATAAGAGACTGGTCTCAAGTTCCAGACTGCTAGGCAACCATCCCATAGGAAGGAGGTTGTACAGATACAAGCTAGGCTGCATCAGTGTCACGAAAACAGAGGCAGAAAGACTATTCTGCAAATGGCACCACATAGTTTATATCCATGTACTTAACCAGTCCCTAAAATATCCCAGGTAAGTGGCTTTGTCAGTGCTGTCTGACAGGCCAGGCTCAAACCCAGCCAGCCACCTCCTAACTGTGATCCTGGGTCAGTGCTCAAGCTGTCACCCTAGTCCTGGCCAGTTTACTAGCACAGACGTTTTCCATAACCACACCTACAGAATGCCTGCAAGGAGGAAGGCAGTTTAAAGGGCTAATCATGGGCTTAGAAAGCAGCAGTGACTTTAATCTGTGTGCTTTTACAGACTCATCATATAGCTTCAAGTCAGGCAAACGCTTTTCAACTAATTTTCTTCCTAGCTACAGATGATATTAATCTGCCTTCTTAAGAGGACTATTATTATGTGAAGTATTATTACTATGAAGATAGGTAAAGCAATCTAAAAATACTATTATCAGCTCCATGGTATCACTCATTGCAATACAAATTAACTCATACAGAACCCTTCATTACAGCTGCACCTCTCAAATGACTGATATTTCTCACCTCCAAAGGCATATTACAAAAAATAATTTGTCTTTATGCAGTTAGAAAATTAAATAGGACAGAAGACAAAGGAACAGTGAAGTTTAAGCACTGAACCACGGTTCAGGAAACCCTTCCCAATATTCAGGCCTCTCTCAAAGGAGAAGTAAGCAATTTTTAGCCCTCAGACTGCCACCCATAAATAATAAGCTGTAAATTCCCATTGGGACAGAATTTGCCTTCAGGTGTGCACAGATATGGTATGCTGCACACATGCAATTTGATGTTTTTCAGAACCACATAATAAAGAGATGTGGTATAAAGCCAGGAGCAAAAAGACAGGCTTTCCTAGCAACCAAACAGTTTTCAATAACTCTTCCTGTTTGTTTGTAATAGCGCAGGTACACCCAAAAAGGCTATTGCTGAGTATGATGAATACAAGTCTTAGTATTTAAACACAGTCATGGCATTATGTATATATCTTTTAGGGCAGATTAATTAGAAAGAATTGCCCATTAGCAACTGAAAATTAATTTCCTCTGTTAATGCTTTGCTCTGCAGTACTTTGAATACTAATGCTTCTCATTTTTATGCAGCATGCATGCTACCCAAGTGCTGATGCATGTTCCACATAGTATAGCAGAAATTCTACTGCTTAGAAACTGTTTGGGTCCACTGATACAGGAGCCAAACTTTATAATAAATGACTCATCATTTTCAGAAACTGTAATTGCTGGTGTTTGAATTGTAGAAATTATAAAACTAAAAAAAATATACATCTTTATCATCCTAATCACATATCCTATTTTCCCTTTCATGAGTCCATGGATATATATATTATTCATTAATGCATGCCCCAAATTCTAGCCTTCTAGTTAAAATGACAGCCTGAGATGTTCTTTTGAAGTTAATTTTTACCATATTTTTATTAAACATTTTTCTCAATTTATACTTTGAACATAAATACACAAATTTTATGGCTCCTGTTACAAAATACACTACTATGTGTTAGAAAACATATACAGAATATATTGTAGTGGTTACACTTGCTCCCCTCTTTTCCTTTTATTTTCATAACTTCTATTAATTTAGACAAGCAGTATCAGAAAGCAAAATCCAACCTCCTAGCAGCACAATCTACAACAGCTATAAAGCCTATTTGTGAGAGAAACTTTGGTTCCTGCCTGTTTTCATAGTAAGGTAATACCAATAAGCTGCATGTCAGGAAGAAACATTGCACCTTGTGCTCAGTTGGTTACTAAAAATCTAGTTCATGACACTATGTATTTTTCAAGACAGACATACAGCTTCTTTTTTTCTTTACAGCTCAGTAAGATAAATAGATAGGTATTTTCAAAATAGAAGAATGTAAATGAGGGACTCAGTTCTGTTCTAATGGAAGTCACTGGCAAAACCCCAATGTACTTTCAGAAGAGCAGATTTTTACTTTGTTTCTACTGTTTTATTGATATAACTGAAGAAAACTACATTTCAGCTGAAAGATAGGATGAATTTCACTTTACAACTCTCATGCATTACAGATAGCAGATCCTGTAATAATACTATGCATGAATTTCCAGTTGAATTGGTGGACTCTGCTTACTGCTCCTACTGATAAAAATCCATGAGAGAGCAGACGTAATCCTCCAGTCCCAAAGGCACAGATGTGGAATCCTACATTCAAGGAGAACACAGAATAAAACCTGTGGTCTTTTACTGCAGTCTAGCAAAGGGATACTAGATTACATATGCTTAATACACAGAGGAATCTTTTAACTTGTTTTTCAATATACTTACATTAAACTGTACAATGTAGTACTTCCACACAGTGGGAAAAGAGCAGCTCCCAGGGCCATAGCTATGGAAGAGCGTAGAAAATGCAACTGGCCTGGCTTGAGCCAGGTGAACCCAGGCAGCAGGCCAGGCAGAAGAGGAAAAGTTTGGGAAAATATTACCAGCTGCCTGGCTTAGAGGCACTCTGCTTTTTTTCTTTTTTTTTTTTTTTTTCCCTATCAGGACTCATGCCAACACTAAGCCCATGCCAACAATGACAATACTCAACTGAAGTTGCAAGATACACAGCAAAAGACACAGATTAAAAGCACAAAACAGTAATGGAGATCCAAAGCCTACAATCCCATCTGTAACAAGGGTCCTTTGTGACTCATGGAAGTCCATGTTATTATGGCTCAAGAATCCTGTTCTAATCAGGAATGTAGGATGTGGGCAAAGCCTCTGAAAAGAAATCAGGATGCATACCTAATTTTCAAGTGCCTATTTTGGTGCCACCTAGCAGGCAAAGACTGACTGCACTGGCATTCCCTCTGCCCCACACACTGGTGGTCAGGCAGCAGGGAAGACTTGATGTTATTTCAGTGTTCTGTCAAACTCGGTAAGTCAACTTACCTACCAATTCTGGGGTTACCTTGATAGAGGTTTGCTTTTTAAAGCAGATAGACTGAAAATTTAAGACATACACAAATCTGCTGCAAATTAAGAAAATAAATTTCAGCAACATTCTATAAACCCCTGCTACTGCTATATCAAACAAAATACTTCAGTCTCTAGTACTGTTGACCTTGAAATGGCATGTGCTGGGAAACACTACCATTACAGTTGATATTGATTTAAACCAAGCAGATTGAAACAAAACACGGTGGAATCAAGCAGTTTGTATTAGATGTTGCAGAAGTAATTTCAGGGCAAACCACACCCTTAACTGGGATAAGAATGGTATCAAAGTAGCCAGAAGTTTTATTTGATTCTAGTCAATGCATACATCTGACAAATATTTGAATTTAGATATACTTAATTTGCATTTCACTGAACACATGGGTTGTATTAGAGTTCTTAACATACTCAACTGAAATTTAATCATCCTAATTTCTCTGTATTTCAGTCTATTGACAAGGAAAAAGGATGTTCCCATAGACTCCATTCAACATGTTATCTGTATTAAACAGATTTTGACTTAAGGATGTGCCTCAACACCATTTTTGGCAACGTCTTTATGAGCTGAAGCCTTTGTTTTATATTTCACATGAGCAGAGACTGTGCAAAAGGCAATTTCAGTTGGAATCTTGAATTCAAAGATTCCTTTGGAAATACATAGATTCATTAATAAAACATCAATTAGATCTCTACTTACAGCCCTCTAACACTGCCAAAGCCACTGCCTGCCTGTCTCAGTGAACGAAGCTGTGCATGCTGTTATCCCAACAGCCATTTACACGACCCTGCTTTGCTGAAACTGGCTGAAAAGAGTCACTCAGACATGACTATATCTCTGCTGTTACCCTGTCACATTATTTGATGGATGTCTGCCTGAGAACACAGCACAACTCAACTGATGTAGGACCTATAGTGATTACTTGCACTTTCTACAAATATTCCAATATTAGTCTATTTCTTCCCAATTAATGACTTAATTAATTATTTCATTATTAATGTACTGGATGTGCATTCCTCCTTAAAAATGGTCCATGTTTAGCTTTGATAGGTAATTGCCAGGGGAAGAATGTATTAGCAGCCCTACAATGCACAGCTGTCCTGTATCTGTATTTTCTATTTGCCCAAGGCCATCAAATCCTTGCAATTATCTCTGTAGAACAAAGGCAAGTCACAGACACATTTCACCTACCAAAAAATTATTGTGCTTTTTGTACTGCAACACTTTTAATAAAACTGAGCTTTAGAAATTAGTATTTTAAAAATCTATGTTATATGTTGAAATAAATACCAGTCAATGAATGTGGCTGGTTTTGTCCCAGCCAAATTCTGGTTTGCAGAATGATATTATGAACTATCATAGTTATTTCCAAATTAATATTAGCTTGCATTAGACTACTAATTGTTTAAAACTGTTTGCTAATTTGTTAAAATCTACAGTCCATGCAATATGTCACTTTGGAAAAAGAAAGAATAGCTGATTTACATAAGCAGAAATCAGCATGAGACATGGCATGTCTTACTTGCCTTCCCTAAGTGCTACAGAACATAATTATGATATCTATAAATGTGAATATAAATAAGGTAAGAGATTCTAAACCCAATTAAAGGTGCCTAACAGTTGCTTTTTGTTCTAAGTATAAATAGCACCAATGGCTAAACATTTTCCAGTACTCTAACACTGCAGAACGTTCTAAGTATGTCAAGACTGTCTTGCACCCTTAATCCTGTGATCCAAGCCTTCTGAAATTGCTCCCAGGTGTATAAAGTCTATCTGTTTGGGTCCTAAGCTGCTGGAAAAGGATAACAGACTTTTTTAATAGTGGAAAGGATCCTGGATTTAGTTCAGTTAGATATTTAATAGTGGGATTTGCCAGACCATCACTGAAGACACTAGTTCATCTTGTCGCTGCTGCTTGGTCTTCTTGTTCACTCTTCTGTGTCCCTGGCCACCAGAAATCACTAATACTGAACTTGCTTTAATTTTCTTAGATTTCTGCCTTTTACTTTTAAATGAGATATTTTGATCCTTCAAAAGCTCATAAATGTTACTGTCCTCTGGTCTGTGTTCTAGGGAACTTGATCCATGAGACAAAGTAAGGGATCCAGAAGATGATGACAAGTCACTTTGTGCAATGGACCCTGCTGAACCCCCCAGCCAAATTGCAGTGTCATGGGTGTTACTAAGGGAAGAGCCTGGTCTTTCAGCGAGCAGAATGTTCTTCTGGTCCTCATCCTTAGGTTCTGAGCCAGGAGGCAGGCTGTTCCTCAATTTGTTTCTGTTCTTCTTGTTTATAGATGTAGCTGTTACAAGAAACTTGACTGGGCTATTGTGTGCATGGTATGACACCATTCCTCTTCCTGGAGCCAAAAGAAAAGACACAATTAAAGAACATTATTTATTTGACCACAGTGTTCCACCATAATTAGTTCATGAAATTTGCTCAGAAAAGCATAACTCTTAAACCCCTATTATATGTATCCAGTCTGTCTTTCGCCTCATGTGTACACTATTTACAAAAAAAAAAAAAGTAGACAGAAATAATGTGTGATAGCACAAGTGTTTTAGAACTGTACCAATAAATCAGCTGAAACATGGCATTATGAATTTTAGTTGACATACTTTTGTGCTCTATTCTCACAACAGTGTGAGCACAGAAACACTGCCAACTTCTCTTTGTTGGCATCAACACAAATTTAGCCCTCATTTTTCTCCAGTAATCCACGAACAATCCTGTTCTACCTCTGTACGTCTTCAGAATAGCATTAGAACAGACCCTTCCACACTATATGGCAGGAACTATACCATCCTTCTGGATGATTGTCTGGTTACCATGATGGATTCATAAGGAAATGACTGAACAATTATTAATTTTTCTCCCCCCTCTCTTTTTTTTTAAAGTGTTTAATCAGTGGGATTCTGGGAGTACAAGGAAGATTTACACTTTGCAAATCATTAGAATGTATGAAAAACAAATTGCATATGGCCAAATTCGGAAGCTGTAATATTATATGTAGCTTTTACAGTAAAAAAGATTAAAAAAAAAAGTAGGATTCTACAAAATAATCTACAATATGAAAAAGAGCTAGGCTATCAAGGGGAAAAGTCCACAAACCCTATTAATCACTATGTCAATCTCTAATTCCCTGATGCATTCCAGGTTATAAGAAAATACATTCTTTTACAGAAAGTACAACCATATAAAGATAAATTATCGCTATTGGAAGCACAACACCAAAAGTCATAATTTTTTAGTTCAAAACAGGAAATAGAAGAATGAGAGATTTTTTGATTCTGAAACTATGCAATTTTGTTGTATTGATTTTCATCTAACATAGGTTCCAGATTTTTACGGAGCATTTATCCTGTGTCATACCACATTATTGCTGCGTATTTTGCTGAACACAGAGGATTTCATTTTCATTTTGCACAGTTACATAAGCTTGTTTTTTTTTTTTTTTCCCTGAAGGAAGCTGCAAACAGCTTGCCTCATAAAATCTGCCGGCTTCCCTCCACAGCACAGAAGCTCGAACAGAATTCTAAACCCAAAACACTGGGGAAAAGCCCCTTTTAAACATACTTTTAAAATCTTGCTTCTGCTAGTAGCTTAAACATTAGTAAAGTGATACAGCAGCATTCATGTATTTATATTTCAAATGGGGTAATATGAAAGTAACTCAATAAATATACCTCTCCAAAATGTAAAAACCTTGATCATGGTCAAAAAATGAAATATTTTTACTCTCATGTATTCCAAGTCTCCTGTTTGGGGGAAACCAGTCAGACAACATGCTAAATTTTCAGTATCTATGTCTATATACTTACTGCATGTATTTTCCCCAAATCTGAAAGAAAAACTGCATTCTCTTCTCATCCCCATGTGTTTGACTGTACTCTGACGGGATTAATGCCTATCCTGTTCTTATGCCCTAAAGAAAAACCATTGTCCCAGCACAAACAACTGAGACAAAACTAGTCAAGTACTTGAATATTCTGTAAAGCTTATGAAAAACAGCAAGTGTAATTTCATTACAAAGCTCTGTCATTTATCTAAACAATACATATAATTTGCCAGGTTCACTGAAGTTACTGACAGCAGAGAAATGGCATCTTCAATGCAGGAGATGTTTGAGAAATTTCACTCACCAGTTACTTTGGGAATCCCCTGCAAACGAGGCACTGGTAACGCTACGATTATTCCCAGGTTTGTTCCCACCAGCAATAAACCATGGCACACCAGGAGGCTGGTCACAGAGACACGCTGCTGCCCTGTGAAGTTTAGGAAGTGCACCATTACTGAAGAGTGATGACCTTTGCCTAGATCAAAGTAACTTCAGGCAAACACAATCAGCTGTACTGTCTCATTCAGCAAAGCACTCAGCACAAAAGCAAATATTCTGCCGGATTATGGATTACACTTTACATACATGACAATTTAAATACTATTAAACTTCAGAAATATTCTGCCTTGAATCTCTAAATCACAGTATCTAAAGGTAGACACAGACTGTCTTTACAAACATGTTTTTATGAATAGGCTATGTTTGTATATTCCCAATAATAAAACTGAAAGGTATTTCATTTCACAATACTCAGCAATTATATTGCCGTAACACACTACACTCAGGACTCAAACCTGTTCACATTACTTTTTTCTCCTATTTTTTATTCTGTGAAACTGTATCAGAAGTGCTGTGTCCCCCTGTTTGAGTTTTGGTCCCCCCATACAAGAATGGCACTGGCATATTGGAAGAAGCCCAGTAGAAGGAGACCAAGATGATCAGGAGACTGGAGAGATTAAAATAAGTGCTGTCAACACGTATCCGATGGAAGGATGCACAGAAGACAGACTCTATTCAGATGTGCACAGTGATATGATAACACACAATGGATCAAATTTGGTGTGTGGAGAAATTGTATTCTAAGGAGGGAGAAAGTGCTTCATCATAAAGGTGGTAAAAAACTCCAATGGATTGCTCAGACACAGGTTCAGGTTGCGGAATCTTCATCCTATCAAAAAATATTAAAACTTTGGCTGGACCTTGAACAACCAGGTCTAATCAGGCCTGCTTCAAGACTGATGGACAAGATGACCTCCAGGGTAACTTCCAATAAAAATGACTCTATGGTTCTATGATTTTCTACAACATTATTTATGAGACTGCCATTTTTCTAATGGAAACAAAGTAATTTCTGCTTGCAATGCTTACTAAATATGTTTGGTTCAGTTTAAATGGATTTTCAAAATGGTCTTGACAAGTTTCAGAAATGGAAACTAATTTTGGCCTGCCCAAAATTTTGCCAAAGTTTACGAGGAGGAGCATTTAAACCCTGCTCAAAGCCTTTCAAAACATACACATTCTTTGATTTATTATTAACTTTATATGTAGAGAAGTCATTCCACCTTCATCATAGCTCTCAAGTTCAAGCTCTCAATTCATCAGGAAGTCAGGAATTTGGATTTCACATCTGATATAACTTGAATGAACTCACACATTCCACACTGTGGAAAAGGACCTTAATTACGGTGTATCACAAATGAATGTCTTTTCTGTTTCGTCCCTTGAAGCTTGCATCCAAGAATATATGAATTACAGAATCACTGGGAAAGCAGGGAAGGAGCAGCTAGACTGTAGCCCAAACCACTCAACTGGAAAGCAGGAGGCAGAACACAGTTCAAGTCTTTCCTCACAGAACTTTAGAGAAACGAAGTGTTAAGCCAGAACTGGTGGGTTTTGAGAGGCACACAGAGGGGGTCAGATCTGGAGTCCAAGCTCTGTCCACCCAAAAGCACATTCTAAAACACTCTAAAGGCACAATGACTAGGTCATCCTCAGCACGTGTAACAAGGATAAGTAAGTTTAAAAGGCTCCATCTACTTGTGCAGACCTTTAGAGACTCCTGTGGTGTTCTCCATAAACTGTAATTGTTTATGGTGGTAGGACTGCGTCATCCCTTCTCAGCTAAATAATTATTGATAGTCTATGTTGTAGACAAATTACAAGTCTTTTGAAACTTGGTGTTTGCATTTTTTATGGGTCTCTTGTTCGGTTGATTTGGTGTTAGGATTTTTGTTTGTTTTGGCTCTTTTTTTAGATATTAATGGGATTAATTTAGTTTCCAAAACAAAGCACACAAAGGCACTCCTTCAGCACAAATGCAGTTCAAAAGTAATGCCAAAACACCTCTGTGTTCTGGAGCTTTCAAAAATTAGTATTTGAACTCTGTGATTTAGAGCTCAGGCTTGTTCAAATTATACGTAACATGTGAGCCCTCTCCCATAACTCGTGCCACAGCAAGTGCAAGGTAATAAGAGGTTCCCTTAACTTCCATTTCCCTTACAGCTTGTTTTACCAACTACACAAATACTTAAATACAATTTTTTAACTTGTAAAGTTCTCAAAAACTCTTAAGTGCATGGTTGTCTCTCAAATCCCTTGCAGAAGCAAGATGCTCATAGTTTTAAACAACAGATCTTTAATGCTTTTTTAAAGCATTTAAAATGTAAAATTACATGACTAATTTCATACTTCAAACCTGAAGCAAGTTTTAAACAGTAATTTTTACCTGGGAAAGCTGGCAATACATGTTACTGTTTCCATAGGTGGGAACAGCAAATTATCACCCAGCAACTTAGAATGTTAAACACTGAGCATAACCTAAAGCATGAACCAACTATAGGGAGGTCAAAAGGAAAATCCCCTGCTGTGAAATCTCAGAAAAGCAGGAAACATCTGCAAATGAAAAGATACTTTGAAATAACAAGAATCAACTAAAAAAATAACATATAGATTAAAAAAATAGTAATTTAAAATATTAATTTATCTTCCAGCCAAGGTTTGAAATCATACTTTTCTTTGTTATTTTCTGACTTTTTGTTTTGATGTATTTCAAATTTAGAGGGAAAAAAAAAAGTCAAACCAATTCTCCAGAATGCATTATGCAGTAAGCACAGAAATTAATAAATTAAGAAGGAAAAACCATAAACATAAACATCAAACCCAATAAAATACTCATCTTTAAATGACAACATTTAGATCACACTGTCCCAATGCAGATAAAACTGTTGAAACCTGTAAAATAATCTGACCAAGATCTTGACTTTAAAAAGAACTGAAGCCAACCATTAAGCTTATACATGGACAAATGATTTTAGTGCCTGTGTTCTGCTGTGTTCATCCTTCTCAGGTCTCCATTCCAGCAACGACCAGACCTGGGTAAATCCTCTTAGGTCTTCTGAAGTCAACCCCAGGTAGGTGTAAGGAAGTTGCTGCATATCCTCTTACTTGGCCACGCTGATCTTACTATGTAAAAAACTAGTCCACTGTACAGATCTGTTGGGCTAACCTGAAGTTTTCCCCAATCTTTTTATCATTTCCCAGCAGTACGATCATAAAGCAACTGCATTTAATGGTCTCACACCTGGTGTGGTGGGGTGGGGACAAAAGAAAGATCTAAAGCCTCAAAGTAGAGCTTGTTTTCTGCAGAGAGGAAGAGATAATTTTTTTTTTCCTTTGCGATTCTCATCTGTTTCCAGGAAATACACATGCCATTAGAGGATATATGGATATAAACAGAATACAGCAACTTAAGCAGAAATCATCTCTTTATTGAACAGGCAACCTTCATTGTCCATATGAGCAATGAAGTATCAAGGTCACTAATCTCTTTAAAAGGACAAACTCCTATAGAGCTGAAAGCAACAATATGTTTAAGGATGTTCTTGAATAATGAAAATACTGACTGTGACTATGAAAAAACAAGTGGACTGTCTGCTCATGTACAGTATGATTTTTTTTGGTGTGAGTTGTGATAAAGGCTGGTGAAAAACTGCCTTTGTTGATATTTCAACTACAGATCATAAACATTAAGCATAAACTTGCTCTACAGATGAAGTGCATTGCACTAGTGAAGTGTGTATATTCGTATTTAAATGTTAATATTTTCTGCTCTCAGTATGCCCTCTGTTCAGCTGGGCTTTGGCCCCCTAAAAGCAATTCAGCTGTATTGTGGATTACAAGGCAGTGAAATAAATAGGTCCAAGTAGCTAAAACAATGAAGATGTTCTTTTCCTCAGCCATTCTCTACCTTTCTCACATGGCACTTGATCTTCTGTTATAGAACACAATCTTGTTATACCTTATTAAGAAGTATTTCGGATGATACGTGAAGTACAGGTACTGTGGATCAGTCTGGACTAAATGTCTATCCCACAGTTCCCTCTGTGCTCCTGGTTTAATCACCAGTTCTGCACTCCTACACACAAATTTCCCATAACTCCAGAAAGCGAGAGCCCTCTCAGCTCCATTCCTCGTAAGTAGACTGCCACAGATTTAAAGTTATATGCAGCAATTAAAAGATTCTGCCAGACACAGTCTGCTTTTTGACATTACTAAACTTTGCCATACCATGGGGACAATCACCTCCTGTGCCATTTCACTCCTCTGTGATTCTGTCCTGCCAGCTGTGCTGCAGGGCTATCTTGCCCAAAGCACAGAAGGCACATCCTTTACAACAAGGAGAGCAGGCGGTGATATTTAAAGCCATCTCCTCCTAAGAACAAAACTGGGAAAATCTAATGCTCTCAGAACTCATTATTGAGGTTATGAGACCCTACAACTCCTCTATCTTAATTAGTTACTACAGCTGTCTTTTAAGTACAGCACTGTAACTCACATTCCTGACTAAGCTTTTCTTTTACTTCTGCTGTACAACAAAAATTAAAAGTCCTAAAAATCCCCAGTGAAGGCAAATACATATATTGTAAATACACAGCTATTTCATTGTGCTTTATTTCACTGTTTCACTCTGGGGTTTTTTTTTTTTGCATTTTAATCTCAGTATATATTACACAGAACTTGATTTATTCTTTAGCTGCTTTTAGTTCCAAAAGGTCCTTACTGCTGCTTTACTATGTAAACCTCCTAAAGGTTTACATAAATTAAAAGCTGTCTTTCAGCTTTTGTTGTTGCAGCATTTTTGAGATCATATAAACAGGCCCAAGAACTACTGCTAAATAATTGAAATTCATTTCATTTTTAGAATGGATTCTCCCTTGGAACATTTGCCATAATATTATTCTACTCCCAAAATAAATTTCCATTTACATTCATTGGTGTGCTTTTTGTGAAGACACTGGGGAAAAAAAAAAAAGGAACTAAAATGGGTAAGAATGACACCAAGGAGATATAATTAGCTAAAAATCTTTTCCAAAAATAATGGTATGTTACATCAGCATTTTTATTACCATGGTAATGAACACAAAGTTAAATTTTTGCAGATTTTTATATGCAGAAAATATGTGTAAGAGAGGCTCTACGTCCCTTTTTTCTCCCACTGTAAACAGCAGAACATGTTAAAAGTTAATCTTTTTAAAACTGATCCTGATTCCTTTGTGTAACTGTGATAAATTCAATCATCTATTTAGAGGCAGGTTATTTGCTGCTGTTCAGTGTTGGATCTACAGTCAAATACCACTTGTAAAAAACACCCTGTCTAGAACATGATATAAACAGACACAATTTAAAATACAGCTTTATTGCAAAGCTAATGTCATCTGAAAGAAAGCATGGTAAGAGTCTGAAGAAGCGAAACATTTTTCATGTAAGATTTATACCTAATTCCTGTGAGAATATAAATATAATCTCAGTGTGGGAAGAACTGACTTCTGTTAGAAAAACTAAGCCATAAAGCTGGCACACATATTGCCCATAAAAACTGCAGAAGCTTGGTCTATTCCAGTCTACAAACAGGGAAAGACAGAAAGAACAGTTGTTTGTTGGATACCTCATGCTCAGCCCTACCAGTATCACTTTACTCTCCATCTCATCTCCCAGCACTGCCACAGCTCCCACCTGACATGCTGATGCTGAGATCCTTGTCCCTCACTTGTTAAACTGCTACAGGTCAGTGCAACTGCCTGTGACACTGGGGGGGGATTGAACAGCTTCTGTCTTCAAACAGTTAAAGAGATGCAAAACTTTATCCTAACAACTGCAGGTTTCATCTTAAATTATAAGACTAATTATTTAATTAAACAAATTAAAGCTCCAGTCAGCAAAACACTGAACACACTCCGAGATGGAGGCTTGTGAGTGGTTCAGCTGAGTTCACCGACACTGCTGCTGAGGTAACTAAAATTAAGCAAGTGGTTTTTTGGTCCGACCCCTAGGCTAATTGACTCCATCATGTACTTGATACTAAGTCCCAGAAGCAAATGCTAATCTCTGCAAGGTAAACACATTTTCATGGCAGATTACATTGTCCAACTGCTTTACAGTCACACAAAAAAATATGACTCAACAAAAGAATCCACTGCTTATCTATATAATTACATTTATAACCTGTAAGGAGGAGAGCTGTTACTCAACCAGCTCGCTGCACACATTATTTGCCTGGGTAGGAGATGGACTGTGACTTACTAAAGCAAATAGTCAATAAATCATTATCAGACTCAAAGTCCGAGATGAACCTTCTAATTCTGGCCTAATCTACAACACTGGAGAACAATGGTGATAAAGATAAAACAAAAATGTTATCATACAGTGCAATTCAACTACCTGGCAACATATTGTGAACAGGTGTGGCAATGTTAACATCCTGGAGGTGTTTCAGTGTCTCAGTGTGGAACAGGCGAAGCGTAGATCCAGATGTGAAGGCAATCCAGACTCCCACTCCAGCAACAGCCATGTGAGAAATTACCATCCCTTCCTCTTGGTGGGCTTCAAAATGGTTCTGCAAGAAAAACAAGTTCCAGTGGGGAGATGCAACTCAAGGACATCACTCACCCTTTCTTATCAGCTTTTCAGCATAGGCAGTGTATCTTCATCCTCTGACAAGGACAAAGCTAGCTTCCTCTGCCTTGCTCAGAATATGTTCTGACAACTACATATGACATTAGTTTTCCTGTGAGTTTTTTTTTTGAAAATGCATCATCATTAGTATGGAAGGATTCTCAGCTCTTGAGCCAAAATTCCACCTAACGACAGAGTAACTCGGATTTTCTTTTTAGTAGAAATATTGCATGATAGGGGCTAGCAAGCCCACAAGAGCTCAGACTTAAAAGGGTTTTGTATTTCTTTATCAATACCCCTTTGGGAAAACTACCACAGTTGTACTTTTATCTACAGCAGAACTTCTCTTTCAAGAATAAAAAAATACTTTTCTTCTGTCAGGGGTCTTTTCAGAATAAGAATAATAGAATCAAATAAAAAGTCATCTTTAGAAAGTAGAGTGCTTAAGAATACAAACACACAATTATTTGCTCAACTCCACACATAGCAATGTACGCCTTAATATTGTGGCTTGTTTTTTGATGATTCTGAATTTCACAAGTATTAGCTATTTTGGTTCCCCATCTTTCAAAATATTGATGCCTTTTATTATAAAAGCCAAAATCCTCTTTCTAAAGGTAAGTAACACAAGTTTGAAGACAAACCCTTTTCCTTGATCTAGAGTCTTCATAGTTACAACTACATGCTCCAGAAGGCTGAAACCTCTCTACATGTCCCTGTTAACATGCAAGATATAGCTGAAGTTCTTTAATCGTTAACAAGAAGGAAGGATTTTTTTTTCTCCCAGTTTTGTCTTTTAAGTAAGACTGTCTCCGAAGTTAAACACAGCCTTTTATTTTTGTGCCAGTTATTATCACAAAGCTAGTCTGATAAACATAAAACTTACTTAGCTAAATAAATGACAAACTGTTCTTTGGATAAAAATCTCTCTCTGAGGAATATGGAAGTAAGTAACTGCTCTAATATTCACTTCATATATTATATACTCTTCATCCTATTTGCAGATAAAATGCAGGAGTAGCCTTGTAAAGTACACTAATTTTCCAGGCATTACAATTAAGGCTTCCATTTTGGTAATTTTTTCATCAAAATCTAAATATAGCAGGGTTATAGATACATAGTTCAAATTTTCCATCCAAATTCAACAAACAGGCTAAGATCAGAAACAAGATCTGAATAAAGTTTGGGCTTTCACAAAGCACAATTTAGTATTATGCTTAGTTAGCACCATATTTCTTTTCATACTTTATTGCTGAATAAATTAGTATTTTCACTGAGAAATTTGACATTTAAATGGGAATGATCTTTTATATGTTTTCATTTGTTAACACTATTCTTCAAATGTTCAGTTTTTAGTAAATGAAAAGTTTTTCTTCAGCTAGGCCAGCTTGAGTGTTACTGGTATTACCTTTTGACTCTGAATAACAACACTACAGAATGCAAGGTAAGCAACTCCAGCAGACACATTTATATTCACTATTTTCCTCAAGTAACCTCCATTCGTTCTTTACCAAATGATAAATACAATTTGAAAATCATACAATTTATTCAGCAGTAGAATTTATTAAACAAAAAAAACCTTTCGAAATCAGAAACAGCTCTTATGACTAGATTTCCTGATATACTCATCATGCATGTTTCACTGCAAGTAGGATTTAAAAATATTAACTTCTCTTTATAGATTGATACATCCCTACACTGATTGGCTTTTGAGAACTTCTCAGGGACTGATCCAAGGGCGCTGAAGTGAATCTGACCAGCAACTTACACTGTTTGAAATTAGAAGAAAAATAAAGCAGATTGTAAGAAATTAATTTTCTCTGGAGTGGTTTGACCACAGCTGAAAACTTTGTTGGTGCCACTGAAAACAACTTACACATGCATTTTTGTTACATTCCATTTTACCAGCCAATTCATTATACTCCCACTTAGTCTGCCCTGCCATTTGTGCAGCTGTCTGCTGAAACACTAACATATTTAAAGTAAAACTGTAATAATGCAAATGCCACAAGAAATCTGTAAAAAGAACTATTCTTCTCATTGAAAGGGTCTTCAAACAAAGAGAAGGAACATATCCCAAACCTGTACCATCTTATGCATAAATTTTTGTAAAAAGGATAGCTTTTGACATCTGTTTCAATAACATGTCTATCTGAAAACTAATAGCTGGTCTTTTCCTTCTATTTTTTTTTCTTTTCATAATAAGAAATACAGATATAAAAGATGTCTTATTCTCTTTGTTATTAAAAAAAAAAAATTGAACTTAATTTTTCTTTTTTCTCTTAGTTTTCATACCTACATTCCTCTCCGTTCAAAGCCTGGCTTTTTTCCCCCTCGGGTTCTCTTGTTTTAATTCTACAGCAACACAGGAGCTGCAGAAGACATAGTGGATGCCTCAGCTCAATGCAGCTCACTGTGTTCCAGCAGTGTGGGGCATAGCTTGGCACACCAGCTGTGCCAAGAGCTGAACCACAACTTCTCAAGCTTCATGAGAAATGCATAATGGGCATCGTCTTCAGTGTAAAACAAATGACTTCCACTACTTTAAAGAAGTTATAGTACTCAGGCAAAGTACATGTATAGGAAGTTTAATTTGGTTTATTCAGCTGAACATTTCAGTGTAAGTCCAGTACAGTCATCCAAGTTTTAAAAACAAGACAAAACAGATCAGGATGGTGACTTTATTCTATTAAATACTCTGGCATTTTTTGAAGCTTTTAAACAAACACAAACTGCCTTTTCAGAGTGCAAGGGGCTACAGGCACAGTGAAAATACGGGATGTAGGTCTATATCCAACAGCAATACAACTGTCAGATCTAGGGTCAAAACCAAGTAACAAAGTTCTTCCTCATAAATAGAGTATCAGAGTATGTAATTAATATATAATAGCAATTGATGCATTTCTCACATGTGCCTTGCCAAGGATCTTGAGGCATTGTGCCAGTTTGGGGCACTGTACCAATAAAATACAATACCTAAAACATTCTATTACAGTAACATATCATTAGGCAGTAAGATATCATTAGAACAAGTGAATTGAGAGTGTTATCCATATCAGAGGTGTGGGGGCAGGGGGGAGGGGAAGGCAGAAAAAGAGAAGAATATTCAATCCCAGTATACAGGATGCCAAGCCTGCTCATTTACTAACAATCGCTAAATAAAGAAAAAAATCTTACATAAAAATCTTAGAAAAGCAAGGAGGCATGGAATGAGATTGTTTGCAAGGATAATGCACTTTGCACTTAGCGAATACACAATTAAACACATGACACCTATGAAGTAAAGAGTGCCTCAGAAGGACAAAGGTTACAAAACGGTCTCGAATAGGGGCTTGCACAAATACAGCCTTAAAAACTAGTCAGGGGCCTCTATAGATAATGTGCATGACACAGAGCACACAGTATGAATGCATGATAGCAGGAAGCAATCAACTAACAAGCATCTGTATTGGAGTATTTATGGAGTATTTCCACATTAAGTAAATGGAGATATAAAGAAGTTCAGTAAAGAGGGAAGAATAACAGCTGAGCCCTGGATTCCTGCTGATAGAGCAAAGATCTTATGCAAAAGATCTTGAGTCAAATCATTACTATTAACTCCCAACAAGAGAGAGCAAGAGTGAGAACAAACATTTCCTTATTGCTGCTTCCCTTCATAGAGCAAAGCTTTTGCTCCTCACAGTAAGGCAAAGGCAGTTCACATGTATATTTGATACAGAATATACCTATAATTGTTATATTTTATAAATATTTATATAGTCTATTTAATATTATTAAATATTAATATTATTAAATATTAATATTAAATATTCAATATAGAGTTTAAATTGCTTTGTATCATATAATATTGAAACAATATTGCCAATAAACATGGCAAGGACATTGTAGCAGATCACTTTTGGAAATATAAACCCAGGAAGTTATCAAAACAAGTCAGGCAACTGAGCAGGCAGCAATAACGAAAACAGGGAGCTGTGTAGTCTGGCGAGTTGATGAGAACAAGATCAGTACTTGCATGTGTCTTAAGACTCATAAAAAGGCAATAAAAAAATCATCATTTGCTCACAGTTCTATGAGGAAGATGATATGCTATGGCATGGGTATTTGTATGACTGATTGTCAGCTAGAGGTACAAAAAAACCATCATGTTCTGGAACAAAACTATTTATGTTGAAAAAAACATTACTCAACCCATACCCATACACCATTTCCAGTTGCATCATTTCTTATATGTTGTTTGATGCAGCATTGTGCTTATATCAGTTATAGCTATAACAATCAGTAGACCTGTAATAACGTGAGCTCTGGATACAATGGATGGGTTAGTTTACAAAGCACCCCAGAAATGAGAAGAAACCTCCTGTGATGCTTTTGCAGGAAAACCTGCAGTAACAGCTGAAAAATGAAACTGCCATGTCTAAGACAGATAGAATATTTGTAATTTTAAGTCTCCAAGCTTCTGTTTTCAGCACTGCAGTCCACAGTGCTCTACTACATTATGACAGAGGAAGCTTTAAACATTCTTTAATCCTCAAAGCTTGTTTAATTCTGGGTTTGTTCTCCTCAGCCAAAACAACCCAGAATAGCCCAGACCGCAGCCATACCATCTGATCTAGGGAGAGCTTTGTGACAGAATTAGGCCAGGATTGCCAAACATTTACCATCTGGCTGTGAATATTCATCCCCACATCGGAACAATCCATCAGTGATCTCTTACCATTGCTATGTATTTCCTGATGGGAATCAGAGAGATTTGTCATCAAAGTCTGTTGAATAGTAACTATGTGTCCCAGAGGCTGTAAAGCCAAATAAAGTCCATTCCAAGCACCTCTTCAAATCACTCTTAAGAAATTTTTCCCTAATCATACCATTTAACCTATCAACCAAACAAGTCTTAAAGAAAAACAAAGTAGAAAAATACATGATCCAAACATCATCTTGGACGAAATAAATCACCCAAAAAACACAGAAAAAAGCCAGAGGAAATTAGGATGTTAGCTATTTCCCTGCAAACCCATGACAGTGACTCACAGAATCAATTGTACCAAATAGGCAATTGTTGGGAGAAAACACGATCATCAATGAAACAAAAAAGCAGCAACAAAGCACACAAAGAAGGAGGCTGTGAGCTCATCACAACTCCTGTTTGAAAGAACTTTATGGCTGTAAACATCATGCAATTCAGTGACACTGTATTGCAAGTTGAAGGAGAGGTTTAATTTCTAATGTTTTATCAAGTCTTAACTTTGGACCGCTAAGACTTTCTTTTAGTGGAAGTTGCAATTTTGACAAAAATAAGAGCTTAACACTTTCTTAGCTTAACACTTTCTGGCAAATATAGTCACAAATATGAGTTTGAATCCTTAACACTCTTCTCTCATTCCAGAAAAGATGGGTTTCGTATGGCTATTCATTGGAAAGTGCTCTTGTGCAAATCAAATCTTTGTAGGCCACTGAGAAGCAAAATTCTGAATGTTCTCAGAGTTTTATTATATTGTCTTGTATTATTGTATTATGAAATCATCACAATGTAAAAGTAACATCTAACTATGTAGAGGCAGTCCCTTAATTAAACTTTCTTCTGTAATTAAAAAGAAATTCCTGTAGACACTAACTTCTTTGCTGCCTTTCCTCAGATTTTGTTTTTAAGAAAATCTCTTGCCCCCAATATTATGGAAACCAGTGGGCAAAAGGAAGCAAGGTATAATGAGACATCAGCAGAGAACTAAGGATATGTTTAACAAAACATTTCTTAAATCCTGAAGCTTCCTAAACAGATTTTAATCTTTAAGGTTTCACCACTTATACCCTGTAGCATAATACGTGAGCAATACTTTTAAAACCGTTTACCTCTATGGAATGCGACACAGTGCTGATTACAAAAATTTGTCCACCACATGCAGCCCAAATGGTCTCCTCCATCACAAGCAGACTTCTAACAGGCAGAACCCCCAATTTAACTATCTTCTGAGGTTCCGTGTTCCACGTCCCATCTTCAATAACAAAGAAGAAGAAAGGTTATATACAACCAAATGGTGATCTTTGCTTTAAAACCATTCTGAAAGGTCTATCGTTTCAATTTCTGGGAGTTGTTACTTCAAGCTACACTGTGATTTACATATGGTTAATTTTACCTTCCACGGTAGGTTTGTAAGGATAATACAACATTACAGGAAAATCCAAACCCAAGCACTCATACATCTGTCAACTGAACAAATTTTATCTAGATTAAATGATAATCCAGGAATCCCAAACTGCTGTTCCGATACAACTGCTTTCCTTTCCAGAAGAAATACACTCAGAAAGTCATGGCATAATTGCCCTCAACTCAGGAGGAGCTCACACCCAACTTATTTCATGATGAATAAATTTCCAACTAGGACAGATTCATCTTCCATGTGAAAAGTTGCCTTTCAGATTCTTATGGTAGGTTCTAATGAGTTCAGATGACTCTCTAACAGCATATTGACAGAATGGACCTTCCTGTTACTAGATGCTTCATTTAGGAAGAAAATTTTTTAAAAAAGAAATTGAAACTAAGTCTTGTGCCAGATCTTCACTTACTTTTTCCCCTAATTATAAAACCAAAAATGTTTTCTTTGGACTGCATTTATCAGATCCAAATTACATTTTGCATGTGTATGTTGCACAATCAGTTGTTCAGAGAGCTTCTGATAAGAAATCCATGTCACTACTTCCTCCTCTGGTCATTCTCACTTGCCATTTCTTTGAAACAAGGATTAGGAGATTATTTATCCCCTAATTTAAAAGCCAGAAATACATGCTTCTTGAAATAGTTGTAGCTCTATCTTTTATACATACAAATTGACATACTAAATATAACAATAATAATTTTAATGCTTTCATGTTATTTTATATATTGTAAGTGCTCACTGAACATAGTCTCAGAGATCACATTTCTATACATTATGATTTATTAATAATGCAAAAATCTGTTAAAGTATCTGCTTTTTTACACTAAGATAAAATATATATTAAAAAGCACCATTTCCTCACTTTAAAGCTTTCTTTCTGCACAAGCGGCAGAAAAGTTGTCTATTCATACTGGTTTCAACTCAGTAACCACTTCAATTTTGATTGACAAGACCAAGGTAAACACATCTTTAGAGAAGCACTTAATTTTTTCTTTTCCGTCCTGAAAACAAGTGTATCTTACATTATTCTCTTAGATAAAGGGGGTACAAAATTTCCTTCTTCACCAATAACAGCAGCAACAACGAGAAGCCTCATTTCTGGAGTACTTCTCAATACTTCTGTCATCTGTATGATACAACCTTTGCTGAGTCATTATCAGGATGTGGCTCTCTTCTGAAAGCATCTTTGTAAAAGTGACATTTAGTTTCAGACTGTCAAAACGATTTTTGTTATTTTAGTTTGCATTGAGAAGAGTGCCTCCAGTTATTAGCGTGCAAACTCTCCCAGCAATGTCAAAGTCATTCTGTGTTCTCTGTGACTCATATGAACCATTAGTAATAAACAAACTTCTTGAAAAGTTTTCATTTGCTAGGAACCACATTATCCTCAAATTAAATTCTAAAGTGGAGGTTGCCCATATCCTATTAAAGCTGTAACCACTGTAGGCAGTGCAAAGCCTTCTGAGAGTGCAACTGCACACGTGCGTGGCCCAACTTTCATTGTGTAAGGGATCCTGACTGCAGAAGTTACAACAGCATCTTGCACCTAGCACCCTTTTCTGGGATAAGCCCAGCATAATTCTAGTACATTCTTGCTATCTTTGCTATCTGAAAGATGAAGACTATGAATTTGGGCAAACTGGAGATACGCAGAGCAAAAAGCTATTTTTACTTTTTTAGTTGTATTATCACACTGAAAAATCCAAATTAAATTAATGGAAATACAAAAAAATTAATGGAACTTCCAGATCAGACAACATTTGAGACAGATGAGGGGAAAAAAGGGTAGGGGGAGACTCTTTAGTCTGCTAATTAGGCAGTATTTAAAGGATGGGTCAGCTGTGTTCTGCTCCCTGCCTCAGTGAATGATTAAATAATTATAAAAATTGGAACAACACCAAGAAGAGAAATTAAGCACTGTGCATCTCTCTCCTCTTATTTTGTGGCAGCCAGGGAAATCTGTTGAGAGTGGGAAGTATGGGTAAAAAGCCTCTCAAGTAAGGCAAGGGATTAGGTCTGGTAATCCAACACACTTGTGTAAATGCTTTATCCACAGGATACTGGCTAAAAGAAAGATGACAATGTCACTTTGCTAACCAAGATGTCTGATATTTACATATTAGATGAATATTTTAAAAAATAGACAATTTTAATACTAATAGATCTGTGTTGTGCCAATATTTTTAATACTCTCAGTAAGTTATATTTCTCAAGTACATTCCAGTGTTGAACAGTACCTTGCAGTGCTTTTATCAGGCTGTTAAGCTGCATGATAGTAAGATAGCTCATGTTCATAAAATATTTCTAAGATTTTACTGTATAAGGACATTCCATTAGTTAATTTTGTTATGAGTCTTGTGATTTTTATGAATTTTGGAAAATCAGTTATCTTTCTATTCACTAAAATTTAGTCAGAAAGTTTTAAAACAATTTTATAATAATATATTCATTTTATAAGACAGAATGTTGGCTATTTCATCTTTCTGCAGTTTGTTTCCATAAAACTTAGTGAAGGAAAGTAATATTATTTTACATTAATGTACAAGTTTCTTATTATTAATTTATAAATAATTTCTTAATATTTAGCATTTTTAATAATTATAATTAGTTGACAAGCTCAAGTCTTCATATGAGATAACTTTTTAATGTTAACATATAGTTTATTTCCTCAGAATGTCTTTTCAAAGTTTGTAGTAGTTTCAAAGTTTGTAGTTTTCCCTTCCTTCACGCTTTCAGTCAAGCTGAACCAAACATGCTTTTTTTCTTGACAGCTTCCTCTCTTGCTTAGCAGCACTATTGATGATTTCAACAGAGCTGCCAACACAGCCCTGGGAACAGCAGTTCTTGGTTAATTAGTGCAGTGGAGCACAAACATTTTTTCCATCACATGGTACATAAACCAGCACTGTGGAGGAGTAAAATGGTAGCTACAGAAGTAAAAAGTTTATCACGTTTCTTACCAGTTGGAAATAAGTTGAGAGAGTTAGGTCTGCTCTTCTAAATAACATATAACTAGGAGTGTCCAACGCTATACATGCATAATTATTTTTTCCACATATGCATCAAATTCTTCATGCTAAATAGCTGACAGAGCTCTGTCTAAAGTTATAGAGGGGCTTATGGAGGTCCCAGCAGGAGATATACAAGTAAGAACAACACCAATGCCAGTGTATTCCTGGTAACAAGTATTATGTGATACTGCTAACAGTGACAATGCAGTCAAGACAACAGCATTTATTTCAATATAACTGCTCTAGTCCTCTCCCTAACAGTTTAATACCACTTCTTTTCACAGCAATACCTCTCACCATGCTTACTTCAAGTAGCAATCGCATGCCAGAAATGTACTCTTCAGACAAGCTGGAGCAGTAGATCAATCCACTCAAGCTCTAACATCAGTGCTTAACATTTCAACATCAATGCTTTACATTCCACATATTTCTCCTTTCCTCAATTTTTGTCCTCCAACAAAGGGCAAAAGTGTCTTACCAAATGAATTAAGGAATCTTGCCAATAAACTGACTTGCTACTCCTTCACTGTTGTAACTGTTTCCCCTTTCGCTTGTATTTCCTTTCAGTTTTGGTCATTTTCCTTGATATTAATCCTCTGAAAATGCTCACTGATTACTGTCACCAGGCCTCTTTGGACAGGTAAGTTATCTTCAGAGATCCCTAAGTTTTTACTGGTGAAGTCTCTGAAGAATACAAACTTCCTGTCCGTTCATGGCCAGAACTGCCTCAGCTGTTGATTGTTTCACATTCAACTGCAATCCTCAAAGCTGAGCCTTTCTTCTTTTCACAAATCTCAGGGCCAGAACCTAGCAGCATACACTGACAGGAACAGGCTCCACAAAAACCTATTAGAAAATACAGCTTTTGTGAAAACGTGGAAGAGTTTTCCCTTATGGGTGTGTGGGCTCAGTTCTCTCTATGGCAAAAGATGACTCTTATCAGTATCTTCAGGCTTCCAGAAGAGACCTCTAGCCACCCAGGTGACAGATACTTGGAGTGGCAATGGCAGCATTGGCATCCCTTCTCCATGCTCTTGGGAGAAAAAGAATTAAAGACTGGGTGAGAGGCAACAGTGCAAAAGTTTATATATTAAAGAATCATTTGATAAAATAGAGGTTTCTTCAACTGAGAACCTATAGTGCTTTACCCATGAGGATACTATATGAGAAATTCTATGTCCTTTTTCTCCTAGCCTCTTTTAAAAACAAAGCAGCATGATTCATCCTCAGCTTGAGAAACTCACCATAGCTGCAAGCTCTCCTCTGTGAAACACAAGTGGCACTTCTCTAGCTCAGTAGCACCTGGAAGTTGGACAATGTTAAGAAATGCCTAATTTCAATTTCTTGAAGGTTTCTTTGGATATCTCTCTACTCAGAAGCATCACAGAATGGCTGAGGGTAGAAGGGACCTCTGGAGGTTATTTGTCCCAACCTCCCTGCTCAAGTAGTCACCTCAAGCTGGCTGCCCAGAACTGTGTCCAGATGGCTTTGAATATCTCCAGGGATGGAGACTCCACAAGCTGTGTTCCCTGATCAGATGGGAGAGAGGTGGAGCACCAAACATGCCCAATGCTGTGAATTTAATTCTGGGAGTAAGCATGCAAGGACTCGCTATGTGTGCTGTACACACCCGTGAGAGGCTACACATACCAACCATGTGCCATTGCAATCAAAGCAGCACATCTGTTTTATGCATCTGCTCTCTCATCCTAACCAAACCCTTTCTGAAACTACTAATATATTAATTTTTCTACTCTCTGCCACAATCATTCTGTGATTTTATTTTCTTTTTCCTGTTTCTCTCCATACTCTTTGCAGGACTTTATGGAAAGGAAATGTATATCCATGTCTAGAAGAAAGGAAGTAGCTGGAACTGAGTACAGTATATCAGGAACAATACACCTATATTCCATAAAGACTGTGATTTCCCTTTCCTAAGATACTTCTGTGAATGGAAGTCAAACACGCACTGACCTTTTTTGCTATTACATCACTCAGAAAACACATCTGCTGGGCTGTCTGCAATCATCACAAAGGGGTTTTGTTTGTTTTTTTTAAACAAAGACAATACAATGTACTTTCCCCTTAACCTCTTCTAGAAGTGCTTTGCCTGGAAATATTCCTAATAATTCAGCCTTAGGCAAACACTAAATGCAGAATTTTTCAGACTGATAACTATGGAAAAGTTCATTGCCCTGTAAAACAAATTCCCAACAGACAAGGTGTCAGAAATTCTGCAATCTGCATCGTTCCCATTCCTACATACAGCAGCATTTAATGCTTTAGCTATTTCACAGTTCCTGAACAAGTCTTCTCAGGCACATGAAATTAAGGATTATTGATGATAATTGATGATTATTTTTAGAATTAACATAGTAGCTGACCTATATCCTACTCTTCTGTGACATTTTCACCATGTAAGCTCATATGTAAGAGCTGAGTAGATTTTATGATACCAGTACCTCATTGACTTTGCTTTTAATTTATATTCTTATACAGTGAGGCTTAAGTACTTTTTACCTCATCTGTGAAAATACACAGATACAGAGGTGTCTCAGAAAAATATGACTACTCTCCAGAAAGGAAGAAATCTCACTGCGCACCTCCAGCTCTCTCACTAATATGGCACTTGTTCCTTGGTTTACTGTACATACTTCTCAGTTACCCTTTTATATTACTTCAAGATGAGATTTTCTGCAGCCAGAGAGCATTCTGGATTCTGTTGATCTGACAAAGCTCTCTAGGGAAGAAAGTCATAAGAGAGCACTTGCTGTTTGTAAACAAGCTGGATATTTACATGCACTGAGCCACCTGAAAACAGTAGGAGAAATTAGACCTGTTTAAGTACTGAAAACCAAATGACAGAAGTTGTGGGTCTTTGACTACCTACAGTAAGGTATCAAGCTTCAGTGACTGAACTGATTCACCACACTTTCTGCCCAGGGAGGAAGAGAAAAAGATCATAACTCTATCAGAAACCGTGAGGCAGAATTTTATCCTAGAAGAAAGATTATCCTTTTTCACTCAAGGAGTCACACAACAGGCTGCACAACCACTTTATCTGTGCATCTCATAGCGTTTGTCCTCAGGCTTCAAATCAAGATGTATTGTAATGCACTGATATATTTCACGTTTGCTTTAAATCTTTTCTTAATCTCCTTAATGATGGCAGACCAAAACCCAAGGTGAAGTGCATGGCTGGAAAGTAACCCCCTCTGCAGAACAGAAGGCGACCCTGATGAATTACACAAAGCTCCTCAGAGGCTGCATTCCCCCTCCCTCCCATTTCACTGCTTGGATTCCTTTGTTTGGTAAAATAGGTCAGCGCTCATAAAAACACCCCTCCAGGGCTGACTGCCTCACATAACCACAGCAGCCAACTATAAGGAAGATGGATGCTAACATGGGAGCAGCTGAATCCCACAACTTCCATGGGGAATGGAGAACTGAAATAACACACACTGACCAAGATGTAAGAAAAGGGACCACAGGATGAGTCGGAAAAATATGATTATTTCCCATCACAAAGCTTCAGCGGTCCTGACCTACACTCTGACAGGCGCTGATAGTATTGAGCTGCACAAAACCCGTGTCTTCAAAAGACATAAAATAAACAGGGAATGCTGTGATCCTGGTCAATGCAAGAACCTCCAGCTCATAATGTAATTCAGTTTGCTTAACAGCTCTGCCCCATCCTTAACATTTTTTGTAGTAGATGTGCAACTCATGCATCCTTTCTTAGCTACACTGCCAAGGATGTCAACCGTCTTTTCTGGAAGAAGTTGAGTGACAGCAATTGCAGTCTTAAAACAGCTTAAACACATCAATCCCTTTCAGAGAAGACGACAGATTCACTTTAATACCCCTCCCAGGTATATACAGAAACACCAAAAATGTTATGAGACTAGGATCAAGACCTCATTCCTGTGCCTCCAAAACAAAGAAAAAATTGCTATTCAGTGGTAAAAAAAATTTTTTTTAAAAAGAACTGAAGTCTAATGTCTGGCTTACGATCAGAGATGAAAGCACAAAACTACTGGGTTGAAGATGACAACTGGACAAAGGAAGGCTCTTTCCCAACACTTTTTTCCCAATTCTTTACTGCTTGGGGAAAAAAAAAAAAAAGAAAAGCATCATATACCTTTCCCAAGCAAAGTCTTTATGTGATCTAACAGTGGGCATGTAATTTGTTCCAAGATTCCAAATACTGACCTTGGTTCCTCAGTTAGAGACTGGTAGGATTTAGTAGCCAAGCTACAGTGCCACACAAATGCAGCTGAACTGTTTACAGGGCCCACCTCATTAGGGAAGCGTGACAACCACTGTTATGCAGCTCACACAAATAAGGCAGACCAGGTCTCTGCTGGCTCTGCACTTTGCAAGGTTAGGAGTCTCTGCTAACATCTCACTTAAAAATTCAGGTTTCAAACCTTGAGTCTTGCTGTCTTTGAACTGCATTAACTAGATCAGTATGTAGAACTGCAGGAAAGTTAGTGAGATATACTGGAGTACACAGACAAGCACCTGAACCACTTCTGGAGAATGTTCTGGTTCAGAAGAATTACCTGGGATTCTCCTTTATTCAAATTATTTTAGCCAATTATTTAGCTAGATACAAAACAACCAACTGTGATGCTAATAGAGAGAGGAGTCCTACCGTGAAATACATGAACTGCACACATAGGAAAGACTTATCCTATCTGTACAGAAAAAATGGGGTTGTCCTTTTAAATGAGATATACAAAAATCTCTACCAATAGGGAATTTTTGTCTTTCATAAACAGCAATACTGGGTAATTGAGTGGAATTAGCATTGTGCTGTGTAAAGTACAGTATACTGCTTGTTAGTGCATAAACTCCTGGACTCTTGCAACACTGTAGACCTCAGGGTTTAAGCTAAGGGGAAAAAATTAGTTTTCACATGCACGTATGGTGAAAGTGGGAACAGTATCAAAGCTTCTACCATCCTTCAAAAAGAGAAAACAAGTCTCTTCAGCTGTACCGGAAAGTCCAGTAACCTTAGTTCAGCAGTTTTCCAAAGAATTTTCGGAAAATATAACAGTGGAAAACTACTTCTGCCAAAATACACTGACATGTGAGTTCCTCAGGATGCCCTCAAATCATATCACTACATTACCTTCTGCTTTTGTGTAGATTGAGATGTTTCCATTTACCAAGCCAGCAAACAAGTATTGAGACCTATATGTTAAGCTCATAACAGTTGATTTTTCAGGAGTGAAGAAGTGCTGAAGTCGAATTTTCTTTGAGCCTTGGCAACTTTTGTAAATAGAAATGCTATAAAAAGAAGCAAGAAAAAAGAGATCTGTGAAATTATGCTTTAGGTAGTTCTTATTAGAATATGCAAATGAGAGGTTTAGAATAAAATATTGGGGGGAAAAGATTTTCTTCCTTATTCTTGACACTCCAGAATGTCTACTTAGATAATCTGCAATTACTTAACAATGACATATGACAACGCTTTCATATTATCTTGTCTGAAGAAACACTTATTCAACAAAGAGACATGATAGAAATTCTGCTCAAAGTCCTTATTATGAGTCTATACAAAATTTTATTAATTAAAAAAAAAAAAAAGATATTACCTGGAGAACTAGGGACAAGAAAAACTTCACTACCAGATGTGAATTATCTTAAAATTTACACCATTCCTACTGATTATTACCACAAGTATGTTAGGAATATTGTTAAATCTGGAATTAATTGCAATAATTTCTGGAAACATGCCACTTTCTTTGGAGAATTCTGTTCTTCTCTTAGACTGGTTAGAAACATCTTCCAAAATAACATGTAGTTATGCACTAATGCCCTTACTAGCTATAAAAAGATCTCTTTGGTTACTGACCTGAAAGTTTAGAAAACATAGCCTTGTTCTTCAATATAAATCAAGTGATAAGTCAGTAGGCCATCAGTTCAAATAGAGTAAAATTATTCATGTCAACACTAAACAGTAATATTATCTATTCATATGGCAAATCCTGCATAGTATCACAGTGTAGAACGTTAATGGATTCCTCTTTGCCATTCTGAAAGTTTTACAATACCTGAAGATTATGTTGTAACATTACAAAAGTAATATTTATAATTTTCAGACATGATGCAAAATGAATTAATCCTCTTTCATCAGAGAGATGCACTGCTTTACTTTCAAATACTACATGGTATATTTTAAAATAATGTAGAGTGTATTTTTTCCTTGATTTAAGTGGAAAGGATACGTTGAGGTCACTGGAATAACACACGGATACTTCTTAAAAAAGTAAATATTTTCTTGGAATTGACCCTGAGATTAGCTCAGTTGGTTAGAGCATGGTGTTAATAACACCAAGGTGGTGGGTTCAATCCCCACACTGGTCATTCACATAAGAGTTGGACTCGATGATCCTCATGAGTCCCTTCCAACTCAGAATATTCACTATGTCTGTGAAGCGAATCACACAATTTTGCTATAGAATAGTAACCCTAATGAATAAATCATATACATTATACCAAAAACAAGAATCACCTTCCTTCTTCCATGCCAAGGCAAATAGTAGGCACATTAGAAGTTTTTGCAAGAACATTTTCAGAGTCTAAAGCTTTGTTTTGCTCTTTCAGCTTCTCCTCCTCTGGTATGTAGACCATGCAGAGAATCCGTGATTCCACATTGAAGCACTCAATAACCTTGGGGCTGGAGTTTTGAAATGAGACTATTGCAATCTGGCCCATCTGATTAGTACAACTGCCAATCTGAATTGGAAAAAGGAAAATAAAAAAAATATACCAAGACTGATAGCTGTCTTCAGGAAGATCAGTATTTACAAGCAGGAATGACTGGAATGTTAACTGAAGAGTGCATCTCAAGTTATATGTGTGAATATGAATTTTCATGCATTAAGACATAAGAAAATAATTCAGCACAAATACAAAAGATGTCAAAACATTATATATACAAAACTGCCTTGTACACTCACAAAACCAGTTCTCTATTTTTTGAAAGTAGGAATATTATTGCCTATTCTGATGTCTGACTCAAGAGTATATACTTTATGTAATGCAATTACAGTAAGTATCTGTGTAATATATTATTTTAATAACAGATGCTCCAAGTTATTTCAGGTTCTTTTAAAACAGGTAACGCACCTGAGGCCTGTCCTTTGCACTGTAACAAGTCTACAAAGAAATGCTCTGTGCAAACAGAAAGAGGGATTATATAATATAATCCATTTTGTAAACTTGCTGATACAGGATCCTAAATTTCAATCTGATTCAGAACTAAGCATCATTAATATGTACACAAATTTGTACATTTTAGAGATCAGAGGGAAGTAAAACAAAAAAACAAAACAAAGAAACTCTACCCAAAGAGAAGTAAATGTTTCTATGTAGTAACACTTTATGTTTGTATAAAATGAAAAAAAAAACACAGGAAAGAGAAAGAAAGGATATTTTGTGGCAGTAGAAAGTTTTAATTGGCATATATTTACAAATAGCAAAGATAATATATGGGTCACCTTGAAAAAGACCACCGACAAAAGTTATTTCTAACTTTTAATTCACAAGGACTACCCTAAAATTTCAGTACCATAGTAACAATAAAAGTTCCTGAAATCATAATCTGCTTTTTTAAAAAAACCAAAACCTGTTTTGGCTACCTCACTTTGTCTGCTGGAATATCTGCATATTTGGGGTTATAGCAATCTGCCAGAGAAATTTTTTTCCTAAGTAAAGATTTAAACAGATTATTAATGGTTAAAACATTCTTAAAATATGAAAACAGACAGTAGGACAGCAGGAGTTCATACGGGTTTTAGCAGCCCTCATTATAAATTAGCACACAACTCCCTTCTGAATGTGCTCAGCTGTCTGGAATTTGTTCTGGGCTGCACTAACAAATCACACACACTGACTGCCTACAGAGAACAGCAAGATCACATGAACAAATACTAGCTAATCTTTTTAGAAGTCTATCTTTAAACAAATAAACAAACAAAAAAAAACTAGGGTTTTTTTTTCAGGTCTCTATGTTGCCGAGAGTCACTAAAAGCAATAGAGAAAAACAGGAGACAACCCTTCAGCTTTTACAGATTACACTTACCCAAAGAAAACCATGTTCCATGGCACAGGAATCTGACTCCGTTTCCCCAGAGAGGTACGGCTCCGGATTATAAGCTGCACATTCAACCTTCAAAGAGAGGAAAAGAGAGCTGTTACTACATTAGAAAGATATGCCTGTTTCTGTCTATTTTAGGTTGCAGTTAATTAAAATGTTTAAAGATATCAAAGAATCCCAAAAGGCAAGGAGTCACTTTAGTCCATCCAGCTTCCCATGTGCAGGGTTAGCTGCATTGGTATTGTTCCCAACATAACTACTCTTACAGACATTCAGAGCCAAAGACTACAAACTCTCCAGTTGATCTGCTCAAATGTTTCATCATTTTTATTAAGTTTTTCCACATACCCAACTTAACACCATCTTTGCTCTAATCATTAGCCTGTTACCTCTCATCTCAGCCACCAGGTACTTCTTTTTCTGCAGTGTCCTTTTACACATAAGGCTTATATATGTCATGACCTTGTCTGAGATTCTACTTCATTAAGCTAAATTATCACTTAATCAATTAATTGAGTTTTTTTAAGTAACTGATATTCTTAAATTCTTGGGTTTTTTAAATTATTATCATCACTTCTCGAACTGGCATCTCTCCGGTAAATGTATCAGCCTTGTATATCTGAGTGCACAGAACTTTCTCATCTGAACATGCCATTCTAGCAGAGCTGTTAAGCAGCACTACAACATGGTTACCTCTTCTGAAGCCTCTTTCTACACATCTCACTGATTGACTGTGATTTGTAACAGTATTACATTCCTAACCAATCCTTAGCTTGCTGGTCTATTAAAATGACTTTAACAGACCCTTCCACTCAACCATGCCTTCAGTCTGTACTTGTGAAGCTCTTAATTTCTCCTTGAGTATACCATATATCTGTCCTGCTGACCGTCATCCCTTTTACCTTTTTTTCCTCTCAAATTATTTCTCCAGATGCTTTACTCATTTTGAATGCTAATACTAACTTCCATAATACCTCTACTCCATCCCAACCTCATGTCATCATGTTACTGTCAGTAAAATAATAACCATACTCATGATTTTATCATGCAGACCATTTAAGAAAAACCTGAAAGCTACACCAGACTCAGGACCCATATTTAAGTCCATCCCAATTCTGAAGATTCAAGCATCAAGAATCTGAAAAGGACATTTTTATGACCAGACATAGATTTCTAATTTCCCAAATATCCATGGCAGAGCTCTCTAAAGCTTAGTGAAACAATTCAAAATATATGAATTTGTAACCATGTACATAATCAAAAGGTTTCCAGTGAGGTGTGATACAACATTTTTACACAAGGTTCTGTATAATTCCCACTAATGTTCTCACCTCAGACATCATTGTTGTGATTATACTGCAGTACTAGAAACAACTTGGTTAGTATGAAATTAGGACAACTTCACCATAACCTGGAACATCACCTTTCAACCATGAATATTTAAAAAAAAAAAAAAAAAGAAAAAAGAAAGCAAGAAGCAGGCAAAAGTTATGAGTTGTAAATTCTAAGTTTACTTAATTTTCCAAAGTGCAAAGAATTTCACAAATCTGCCTTCAGTCAAAAGGCTTCTGGTGATTAGCCTGTGTAGAAAGTGATTATCCTTAGTAAAAACAGTGTTATTTTTTCACTAACACAATTCACTATACAGATAAAAGACTGAAATCAATAGATAAGAAAAAAAGAAAAAAAATTAGAGCTATCCATGCCAGTCTTGGTATGTCTCATGTAACACATGCTGAAGCTGTCTACTCATAGTGGTGACTTACAATAGCTATGACAATGAAATACATCACTAGTGAGAAACAAGACAGCCTGCATGCTGTGTATTTCCTAGGCTGCTTGTTACATCTCTGTCCCTTTGTATCTTAGTAAACACTGACAATATTTTTTCATAGTTAAACTCTGGTAGTTTAGCTCTTGATCTTAAAAGAAGCCTGGAGTGTAGGCTTGCTCTGATGGGAGAAGTTCTTATAGGCTCCTTACACCACTGGGCAACCTGAGCAGCATAGAGAGCTAAGGAGGATTAGCCAAGCAAAGGGTCTCTTCCCACTCCAAGACCTGGCCTGACACCCAAACAAACCACAAGTAAATACTTAAATCATATTTTCTAGTAATATCAAGGACTTGGAATAACCAGACATGACCAGCTGGGCTCATACCCCATTATCTTTAGTAGGTGCAAAACCAGCAAAGTTGACCCAGAGCTCAGGTAAAGTTGACCCAGAGCTCAGGCAAATGCTGTCACACACTGTACTCTCCTGAGGTACCAAGGCAAAGACCATCACCCAAGTGTACAGGCAACAGAATCCTGCTTCCTTTCAAAACAAAGATTCTGTTCTAACTTGATTACAGAAGTTGAGCATGGGCCTTCACAGCTTCTGGCATGGATCTTCAGAACTTACAAATGCTTAAGCTCTAAGGAAACACATGCATTTTAGATTTCTGCAAAAAAAATTAGCTGACTGTTTCACCAATGGTGACTTTATAAAGTATTCAATACAGAAAAAGCTAACTGTTTAATAAGACAAGAATAACTATGGTTGTGTGGGAAATAGAATTTCAGTAGTCTAAACCCCAGATCTGCTCTGAAAACCAGTATCATAGGAATGGCTTAACACTATTACACATTTCAACTGCATTTCTAACTAGCAATTATTCTCCCCCAACATCCAGGCCTGTATCCTCACAGTCAGAGTGAAGCTGCCAGCTGCACTTCCCTCCTGAGTACCCTGTCCTACAAGGAGGGCCTGCAGACTTAACTCTTTAAGCAGTGTCCATGCAATGACGCTAATTTAATATCGGGATTCTGGCCATACATACACAATTTTATTTCCATTAGTGTCTTTGCACAAGCCTAATTGACCAATGGTCCACAAGAAATCCTCTTCATACACATAGAGCACCCTTCCCTTCCATTTGGTCTGGAGAGGATGTACTTATTTTCTTCATTAAAGCCAGTGGTCAGTATGACTTCAAACTGACACATTACTTTAGGAACAACTAAGACAACTTCTGTATCATTGTTCAGAATAGAACTATATTTTCTATATGATCCCCCCAAAAATTTTAAAAATTATTTTAAAACTATTGTTCTCTTTGCACTAATGAAAATCCAAAATTCGAGGAGGATTCAACACAGTTACACCAGTAAAGGACAGCTATTGTGGAGATCAGAGTCCTATTCTTTGTAAACCTTAAGTTACTTTCAAGCCCCTAACACACACTTGGAAAACTCAAGACAAACTAAAAATTCCCAGCAGTTCTGTTTACACTGAGTGATGAGCTTACATCTGAAAGTCAGTGTCACACTATATAGAAGTAAACACAATGTTCCTCAGTGCCTCAAAGATTGCATCATTTTGCATTCCTCTGACCCTCTTGGACCTTTCACTGCTACTCGTCTCACACCAAGGTAGTAACTCAAGAGAACTAGCAGCTGTATTTACAATATGATATTCTTTAGCAGTTATATAACACAAAAAAGCAATTGTAATCTCATTTAAAAATACTGTTCACCTTAAACTCCTGTTGCTTGGCCATCATCACTGGCATATGTCTAACAAGGAGAGGATGTTTCTCTTTTTTTATTTGATTCCCATCATCTTCTACGCAGAACCAACCTAGCAGGTTATCTTCCACTGCAATGGGAAGAACAAACAACAAACATCCCACAATACTTTCAATGAATAATCATTTACAACTCTCCACAGGAACAGAAAAGAACTCTCTTAGGACTAGTCAATACTGATCAGGCTGTTCTTATGCTTTATATGCTTAAATAACAACATAAAACTATGACCAAAAATTCCATTGAATAGATTACATACATATTGATTATGAAAAAACAAAAAACAAAACACCACCTTGCATTAGCACAATGTTAAGTGAAGTTTCTTAATGATCTTGTCAATTGGTTATTGAAAGAGGAATACACACCTCAAACTTCTCCTTAGACTCTGGGAAATCTGTTTGGCAAACAGCATTTCTCTGCCTGTGTAAGTAACACTACCAACTAGCATGGTGCTAAGAACACCAAGGTTGTGGGTTTGATCTCTGTATGGTTCGTTCACTTAAGAGTTGGACTTCATGATCCTTGTGGTTCCCTTCCAACTCAGCATATTCTGTAACACTTGTCTACTATTTATTATAATTGTAAGGATCCTCCTCCTGGAATGATGGAGACATCCATTCTCTCTCTTTTTTTGTTATTTTGCTTGCCTTCAGTGAGACACCATAAAAGCACTCTATTTTAACAATATGCTTGTGAAATTTGCTTTGTAGCAAGCTAATATTTCTGAACTTAGACATTCAAAATGCCACATATCTTTGAAGACCTATACCCCTGTGCAAACATAGGAGATTAGTAACATCACAGGACAGCACATTTTTTACTCCTCCCACTAAAATCAGGTCTGTTGGTGTGAAAACTACAGTGTTATGTCAAAAAAAAAAAACAAACAAGCAAAAAGAACACCAAAACCAAAACCAAACAAAAAAACCAACCAAAAACCAAAACCAAAGCCAAAAAACTGGACAAAACCCCAATTCTCTCACAAAAACTTGAGTTTTACATACCCAGCTAAAGAAATTTTGCATTAATAAAACTACACCCATAAATTTATATCACATTTAGAAGCTAAACGAATGCAACAGCCTTAACTGACAATTCCTTGCTGGAATAATTCTGAGCTAAAATTGAGAAATTTGAACCTGAAGTTGAAAGTATAAAAAGTTCATAAGATCCAAAGAAATATTTATAATCAAAAAGCTTCCTCATCTGTTCTGTCCTGCAGTGTATCTCATTCTTCTTGATTTAGATGTAATAATTTGTAATGATCACCATACCTCATTAAAATACATTGCTTCATAACGAATGCCCCATCTTATCTATAATGTTGATTTTATAGTGATACACAATCACTACTGTTTACTGTACTGCATTTTAAAATATCTGCAAGTAAATTTTCACCAAAAATAATCTCTAAAAAATAAAAAATAAAAAAAAATTAGACTGTACATTTAGAGCTATTTTAACTTGATAGGAAATTTGAGTAATTAAGAATTACCAAGGGCCAGTTTAGCCATTTGTAAATTGTTGATCCAAGACTGTTTGATGGCAGGGGTAAATGTATTGAACACAGCTGTAAAGAAAGTTGGCCTCCCAGACCTGCAATACAAAAAACAAACAAAAAAAGGCACTACAAATGCATTTATTATGACATACAGCCAAGTCTAGAAATGTGAGCATGATGAAATTTCATTATTTTCTAATACTTAGACACAGTTCTGATATAAGCATAGAGGCTTTGATGCACTATACACCCATTTTCCTACTCTTTACATGCAATGGTATGAAGGAACACCCTCCCTGGAAAAGGAATACAAAATTGTTCTCTATCAGCTGTCACTGCCATGGTGCCTCATTTACTTCTTGCATCTGGAATGCTGGGTTGAGGAACAGGAAAAGAAATGCTCTGGAACATTCAAGCTCCCAACATTATGGCATAAAAGTCAGGGGCTAACCACAGAGACGAAAGAGAGGGAAGAGCCATGGATTCCCAAATCCTCCCTAGTACATCTATGCCTTATGCATAAGCCCATTTAGAAAGTTTCATAATCAAGATTTCTACTGACTTGTCCTGTTTTCCTGGGAGTTGCAGCTGAATTCTACAGCGATCTGCTGCTCTGATTTCATCTTCTTTTTTCAAAATCAGTTTTTGTAAACCTGAGGTCCAGTCATGGGCTACAGATTGGTTTAAGTTCTGAAAAATTAAAAAAGCTAAGATTCAACACCAGCCTACAACACTAG